TATATGAAACTTATGTCAGATTCATTCCACTGGCTTTCCTATTCCTTTCCCCCTCCATTCCCTTTATTCCATTTTGTCTAATCCACTTGGTTCCTTTTAATGAAGAATGGTGTTTAGAAACCAAGGTCTTAATGTTAGGTGTGCTGTCGGTGTGCCAGTGTTCCTCAGCTCTGTCAGCAAAATGAGCTAGGAAATAGATGTATACAAATTTGTTAACCCATGCAAGTTGATACTTATTTTTGTATCTATTTGTAAAATATAGATATTCATATTTCTATTTTAAAAGCCACAATTGATAGATATTCTTCCAACACCTATCCAAAATGCAGGATTTATCTTCACCTTCTTTATTTGTAAATTCTTTTCTGATAGTGATAAATCTGGCACTCCTTATCTGGCATTTACTTATTTGTTCAACTCTGTAATCATGGAATGATAAATGTGTAAATCCATACCCCTGCGAGGAACAAAATAGCTTTAAGTATGTTTTTATGTACAGTTCTTTTAATTAATTAATTATTTTTTAGTTGTGGATGGACACAATACCTTTATTTTATTTTATTTTTTTTAAGTGGTGCTGAGGATAGAGCTTCATGCCTCACATGGCTAGGCAAGTGCTCTGCCACTGAACTACAATACCAGCCTCTGTACAATACAGTCAGAATCATTTGTGAAGGCTTATATTTCATATTGGTAAACCCCACTCCAGTTCTGGTTAATCTTTTTTTAAAAAGATCCTATGTACAATAAAATTTATTTTCGTCTTGTATATTTCTATGAGTTTGAACAATTGCATAGTCATGGTTATACCACCAAGTTCATGAGACAGAATACTTCATTTCCTGAGATGCTATGTTTTGGAAGATACTTAAAATTCACAGGAAATTTTTGTGTGGATTTCTCTGATATTCTCATCTGGTATATATAGTGAGATTAAGAGGAAAACTTGTTTGAATAGGCAACGAGAATAATAAGAGAGATTAGGAATGAGATTTTACTTCCTATTGTACAATTATTTGATATTCATTGTGGTGCTAGAACATAGATTTTTTTATGTTTTAAAGAATTGAATTTTTTTTTAAACAGAAATAATTCAAATTATATAATTATATGTATTTTAAATCTATTTATTTATTTTGACTATTTTTCCTGGCTATTCTAATAGGTATATATTGATATCTCATTGTAGTTATAATTTGCCATATTTATTTTTATATTTATAAATATTGCTTACATGTATAAACATGACACACACACACACACAATTTTCTCATGTATTTTACCCTGTGTTTTTCCTTTTTTCACCTATAAGCAAAAAGAAGAAGATTTAGAAGAGAAAAAATTTTATCCTGTTATAATCTGGAAAGGTTTTCATGTATTTTTATCATTTCTCTTGAACAAGTTGATTTTAATTATATTTGTAATTAATTAATGATAAAAGACATGGGATAATGGAGACTACATGAAGAAATTTGGAAAATGTTCAGTTTTGCCAGAAAATACTGCTAATTAAAACATTGAGATACCATTTTCACTTACTAAGATTGAGGTGTATATATGCATGTATGCAAGAAAGAAAAAAAAATGGGAATGAATAAGGGGCATTGTAATATATTAATACATTACAGATAGCATTGGAATCTCACACTAATAATGTTTTTTGACAGCACTGAGTATTCAAAAATGTTAATATTGGATCTGTTGGACAGTGCATGATAATGGACTTTTTTTTTTAGAGAGAATTGTTTTTAATATTTATTTTTCAGTTTTCGGTGGACACAACATGTTTATTTTGATGTGGTGCTGAGGATCAAACTCAGTGCCCTGCGAATGCCAGGCGAGCATGTTACCGCTTGAGCCAAGTCCCTAGCCCCGATGGACATTTTTTTAAAAAAATATATTTTCTAGATTATCTGTAATAGGAAAACAATATAATTGGACTTCTTTTCAAGACATAATTCTTTTCAAGACATTCTTTTATTTTCAAGACATAATTGTGTAAAAGTTACATTTTACACAGATTTTTGATATTAAACATGATTATGTACCCTAAAGTTAGAGCACAGTGCTTGCAATCTTTTCTTAAACAAATACAGTGTTGTCTTAGAAGCCAATTATGAAAGTCAAGATTATTTACTTACCTCTACCAGTCAAGGTTAGTTGTTTTTGAAAAATTTTGTGTATATTTCCATATTATTATTAAGCATACATAGCAGAACAACCTATATTTAGTGTTTGACTTAGTTTTTTTTTTTTTTTTAAGGTTATGTTTTCAAATTTTGTGTTCTAAAGAAATCCTCTTCAGTACTGTTGGGAGACAATTCTCCATGGATCTCTTCTGTTTCTGCAGATTCTCTTGAGTATAAGCATTGACATGTTTTGTGTTGGACTATTGTTTTGCAAAGCCTTGATAGATGGAGATAATGTCTTTCTTAGCTGGAGGGTATATTTGCTTTCTGCCCAGGAAAATGGAGATAATTTTTTTCCTTCAAGGTGGTCTGGCATGTTTACTAGCAGTCCTTTTAAAAGATTTGGGTTTCCTAATTATTAAGTTCTTCCGCTAGGACATAAAAATCATTACTGTTGCATCTTTCACCCAGGCTGCTCCACACCATCCCTTGGAATGTAATTGACAACAGGAAGCTCATGTTGACTATTGTGTCATAAGAAATAGCTCTAATTCAGGATATTGTTTCTTCTAGCCCCCATGAAATTATGGTTGGCTTCTTTGATAACTTGTGAGTAAAATCTTTGAGCCAGTATAGTTATTTTATGTTTTGATAGACACATATTGGTGAAATTATGTGTTTTTTTAAACATATTATTGTAGGAATTCAGAGTGGTATGTGTAGATTATTGTAGGCATTTGGAATGGTGTGAGTGTGTTAGATTATTATGGGAGTTCAGAGTGATGTGTGTGTGAGTATGTTTAATGAGAAAACTACACTAAAATAGTTTAGGAACTAGATTATTTCTTAACATCAGTTCCCTCTCCCTCTATTAATGGATGACCCTGCTCAATTTCTAGTCTGGAGAGTCTGTCTTTGCATCAATGGTCACAATTCCTATATATTTAAAATATGAAGTTTGGGCTGGGATGTTGCTCAGTGGTTAAGTGCTCCTGGGTTTACTCCCTGGTACCAAAAAAAAAACAAACCATGAAATATGAAGTTATCTAATGATATTGGCTTGCTGAGTTATAGTAAAGAACAGTGATATATTTATATATAATACTTATATTTTAATAGCAAATCCTATTAAATATATACCTGTTTTCTGTAAATTATCCTTAATATGGAAAATACCCTTGCTTTTTTCCTCAGATATAAAACTAAGAACAGTTAGTAAAAATTCTTTTATGTAGTTCTCATTTATTAATGAGAAAGAACAATGTCTTCTAAAATAACCTTTATTTTACATTATTAAGAGGATTATTTTACTTTGAAAATATAGTATGTTCACAGGCAGAATTAACACTCTTGACAGTTAAATATAACTAAATCTAAGTAATTAGTTTGTTTTGACTTTAGGATCAATTTCTCTTCTTGCCTTTATAAAACTATGTCATTTAAAAAACTTAATAATCACCCTAGTAATTAGCCATAATTTTTCTTTTTCATGCAGTTAGTATGCCATTGTATGCTTATCTGAATGTTCCATTTCTACAAAATTACTAATTTGAGTACTCTGCTCTTTGGCCAGATTATTTTTCCTCCTCTTTGCCCTTCCATTCCTTTTGATTTGTCTTTTTCCTTTGCTTGGGTGGGTACATAGCACTAAGATGTCTGTCTTCTCTCTTCTTTCCTTATATTCATGCCCAATTTCTAAATGATTCATGAGGGAACCACCCTCACTTCTCTACTTGAGAGGGGAAGAGAAAGAGATTGCATTTTTCCTGAATTCTGTAGTAGAGCTTGCTTAAACAGTGCAATTTAAGCCTTTCTCCTGATCACTAGTATTTGCATGGTTTTGCAAGGGCAGGGAATTTTTCTTATACAGATACAATACTGTAGAATTCTTTCTTAGACTTTTTCAAGTAAAATGAATGATCAAAAGACAAGAGCCTTCTCTACAGAAGCTAGAGTACTACCTCCTCCCTTTGACCCCATTTGAACAGGATGTGATTAGTACCCCAAATTACAGAAGTATATTACTCCCAGCCTCTCTTCCAGGACCATGTTATTCACTATTCTGACTTTTATCACAGTAGATTAATTTTTCTTGTTTTTGACCATATATAATCAGTACTCCTTTTTGTGCAGTTTTAGCTTTGTGTTTATTGAGATTTTTCCTATGTAATTGTATGCAAATGTTTTGAAGAGAAATTTATAGTCAAATGGAGGCTTCCCTTTTAGACTTTGCTAGTGAGGGTGGTAAAGAGACCACAATTGTTATTAATTTATTTTTTTGTGGTGTTTGGCTGGAGTACAGGAGTTATTATTTTTATCTTCCTAGGCTGCTCTTTTCCTTGTCTTTGGGTAGAGAGAGCAGAGCAAGCTTTATGTGAGGATTTTGTGTGTGTGTGTGTGTGTGTGTGTGTGTTTTTGGTCTGTATTCATTTACATTTTTGTATTGTTGACTTCTCTAACATCTGGTCTGGGAAATATGAGACCAAAAGAACCTAAGGAACTCCTCATTCTTCAGGCCAAGCTGCCTTCTCTCTACCTTTCACAATCTTCTTATGTTTGTTTTATACATATTAACAGGATTTTTAGCTCTGTTTAGTAGGGAATTAGGAAAATGTATATCTATGGCATCTTTATGGAAGCAGAAATTGAATTGTTTTACTTTTAGTATCTTTTTAAAATAGTCTTTTGAAGTCATTAGGAAAAGTAAAATGAAATATTTTATGCAATCTGGTCAGTTAATATATTCACCAAAAGAAGGACTCCGAACAGAAAGTAATTTATGATAAAAGATATTCTCAGTGTAATCTGTTTATATTCTAAACTGAAGAATTGTAACCCTGTGTAAATTTAAATTCCTGTGTTTAATTACAGAATCTTTTGGCTGAAAAAGTAGAACAGCTGATGGAATGGAGTTCTAGGCGTTCAATCTTCCGAATGAATGGTGATAAATTCCGAAAATTTATAAAGGCACCACCTCGAAACTATTCTATGATTGTTATGTTCACTGCTCTACAGCCTCAGCGGCAGTGTTCTGTTTGCAGGTAATTTACATATTTAAAATTCTTAAAACTACTAACTCAGGTTTAGAATTGTATTTTATGATTAATATGTATAAGAGAATTAAAGAGTTGTTCATCATTGTGAAATGTAGCAGTGTGCATTCTAGTATATTCTAGAAAATGACTTTGATAGGCTAATATTTCTTTATTATGGGCATATAAAATATTTATTGCATAGTTATGTAAACGGTCACTAAAATTGATATGTTATCTTTAATTCCTGCATGTTGTCTTGTAGATTGCCTCATTATATCTGTGGTCAATGAAGTAGCTCCCTTAAATATACTCTATTTTAACAATTTTATAGAGAATACTCTTTTTTTTTTTCCTGAGGGAAATCCATTTACTTTTTGATGTCTCTGGTGATCAGCATTTTTTCCCTAGACTGTAGAAATAAATAAATTGAAATTAATGAAATACTTTTTCAGTATGTATACACTGAAGAAAATTTTGGGCAAGTATAAATATGATATATATGCAACAAATACTTTTTCAATTAAACTTATTTTGAGATAATTGTAGGATCACATGTACTAGTAAGAAATAATACAGAGATATTCTATATATCTTTTCTAGTTTTCTCCAATGATAGCTTCTTATAAATCTGTGGTGTACCATCACAAGCAGGTATTGGCATTGATAAGTCAAGTATAGAACACTTATAACATCATAAGAATAACTTTCTTGCTCTTTAGAGCCAAACCCACTTCCTCTTGTTCCATTCTCTCTTTTGAATTTCACCTCTAGCAATCATCCATTTTCCATTTCTTTAATTTTATTTCAAGAATGTTACGAAAATGGAATCATATATTGTTTGACCTTTTGGGTTTAACTTTTTTACTTATGTAATTACCTCAAAATCCCTCCAAATTGTGGCATTTATCAACATTGGTTCGTTTAAGTATTCAGTAGTAGTTAATGGTGTGAATATTCTTTAGTTCATTTAACTATCCATCTGTTGAAGGACATCTGGGTTTTTTGCACTTTTGGGCTTCAGACTATGTATATAAGGTATACATGAAATGTAAATGAGTTTCATAGTTAGGCTTTAGTCCTGTCCCTATATATCTCAATATATATTCATGCAAATATTTCAAAACCTGAAACCCAGTACACTACCAAAGCAACTTTGGATACTATTTCCTAAGCATTTTGGGTAAAAAATACGCAAACTATAAAATAAAACCACTATGAAAATTCACTTCATAGCTAATGGTGTTGAGTCTTTTCCTATGTTTATTAATCTTGTTGAACATGTTTTTGTGTGCTTATTTGTCATTTGTGAATCCTCTTTGTTGAAATATCTGTTCATGTGTTTTGTCTATTTCTAATTGTATTCCTACCCCTACCCCTGGGCTGCTGAGTTTGAGTTCTTTATATATTTAGTTACTATTCCTTTGTCAGAAATGTGGTTTTCAAATATCTTCTCCCAGGCTGTTACTCCTGTTTTTATTTTCAGCACAAGGTTTTATTTGTTTTTTGTTTTTGTTTTTGTAGGTTTTAATTTTGATGAAGTTTAGTTTATCAGATTATATTCTTGCTTTAGTTACCGAATTGCAGAAGTCTTTGCCTTGTCCTAGGTACTAGATATCTTCTCCTATGTTTTTTCCTAAAAGCCTTATAGTTTTTTATTTTAAATTTTAATGCAATCTTTGGGAGGAAGCATTTTAGTCTTTTATCATTAAGTTACTAGCTCTAGACATTTTTTTCTGGATGGTCTTTATCAAGTAAATTCTTCTTTATATCTATTTTGCTGAGAATTTTTATCAAAAATTGATGTTTTATTTTCTTATCATTCTTTTTGGTGTCAGTTAATATAATTTTGTTCATTAGTATTGTTGGGGTAGTAGATTATGTTGATTATCTTTCAAATGTAGAACCAGTTTTTTATACAGAAGTTTATGGAATATTATTCTTTTATGCATTGCTAGATTCTGTTTGCTAGTATTTTGTTGAAGACTTTTGTATCTTAGGTTAGAATAAAGATGGATCTGTAATTTTCACTTTTTTATGTTGTTATTTAGTTTTGGTATCAGGATAATTCTGACCTCATAAAGTGAATTGAGGAATGTTCCCTTCTCTTTACTTTTTGGAAGATATTATGTGAAATTAGTGTTATTTCTTCTTTGATTGCTTGATAGAATCCTCCAGAGAAATCATTTGGGCCCAAATATATATTTTTAAAAAGCTTTTGAACTACATATTCCTTCTTATTAATGTTTAAGGACAGTGTAGGTTGCCTTTCTTCTTGGCTGAACACTTTTTCTTTTTAGGAGCAAACACTTTTTAAAATTTTTCTTCTTCAGGAACAAACTCGTTTTTATGTTATGCCATGACTCTCTGCATTGTATGTTTTCTGTAGACCTTTAAATCATTTTTGGACTTTTAAGTCATTTTGAACTCCAGTGGAGACTAAAGTTATTAGTAATTGGTAATTGAAAATAGTCAGTTTTACACAAACTAACTTGCAGAAGGGAAATTTCAGTGTTCTGAAATTTTCAAGAAGGACATTATAACAAGCTAATAATGTATATTATAGCATGACTAGAAGTCAATAGATAAGATAGTGAAGAAAAATAGTTTGAAAAACAGAACTTCAGATGATACTAAGTATCAAATTTGAGAAACAGTGCCTAAATGGATATATAGCACTGTTGTTAGAATTGGACTAGCACATATAGATAGGGCTTATATGCCTTAGGGATGCTGTAAGGTTCCTACTCAGACAAAAATACCACTGTAATAGGTATTTTGTTATAACAGTTTAGTTTCCATTAAAAAAAGGTGTTTTTGTGTGTCTGTGTTTGTATTTTGGAAAAATCATTTATTTGCTTCCAAAATTAAATATGTTAATGTGGAAAAAATATATTTAACCAAGGTTTAAAAAATAAATATATTTTTTTCCTGTTGTTAGTACTGTTATGAAGAAATATTTGATTATATTTTCATTACTGTAATCTAGAAAGATTTTATTTTCAAATACTTATTTCACAGTGACATATAATTGTATGTATTGTGAAAACATAGTCTATTATATAGTGTTAAATTGTACATGCTTTGGGTATTATTTTACTAGATTATTCTGTTGCTAAATTTGTTTTTCAGTATAGACCCTGAATTTTTTAATAATAGCTAGCTTATAAAACCTTTATTTATTTTATTTCCATTTACTATAGCCTTTATAGTAATATACATTTAAATGTTAAATGTTTTAGAATTAGAAGAGAAAAAGATATTAGAAAAATTTAATTAATGGATCAAGGAAAGAGCTGGGTTATTAGCAAAGAAAGCACAGGTGAAGATTTAGAGGCAGATAAAAAGCATGCAGCAGATTTATGGGCCCCATACCTATGCTTTCTGATTATGTGGGGGTAGGCCAAGGAATTATTATTCTAAAACGTATAATCTTGACAAACCTAGTATGTGTACCGTTATGGAGAATGGGAAAGGAGCAGGTTCATGACTCATAGCTTTTATTTATTTTATTTCATTGACAAGCAATGGAAATGGAAAGGCTTATGTAATGGGATTCAATGTAGCATTGAAAATCTTTATTGAAACTAGAATACATAACTTCTTAATGACAAATCTGCAAAATTAAATTGTTTTCTTCCTCTGTACTGAGCAATTTAGGAGCAAGAACCACTCTGCTTGGAGATCATTACATTTGCTTTATGGTGTGAAGTAAATTAGGAAAATGATCAGTATATATTTGAAATTGTGATGCTAGTTTCAAAGTTGTATTGGGGTTAAAAGGAAGCTGGAAAAAATAGAGCAACTAGTTGTGTTGCAATTAAGTTAGATTTTCAACAGGATAGTGAAGAGGTTTTCTGTAGTAGTAAAGTAGGGTTGAAAATTAGAAAGTTGGTATAAATGGTTTATGTAATAAATGAAAAATTGCTAAAGTATGATGATGGTATAGAGAAGCATGAGTTATTATGAGATTTTGGTAATGTCTACATTGTAAAATTGTATGTTGAAATTACTATGATGATATTGGAAATGGAGAAGAAAAAAATTGAGCTATCTAGAGTATGGCTTTGGAGTATGTTAGATTAAGCTAATAAATTTATTTTATAGGGTGATATAAATTATAAAGGAGAATATTAAGTAATCATCATTGAGCAATGGTCTTGAGTTCTAGGTGGGACCCATATGATACTGGGCAAAGTGATTCAAAGAGACCTTGAGGTAACATCTGAGATGAAAAACTAAAAAGGAGCTTTAGGAAAAATTCTTCAAGAAAATTATTTAAATCATGTGTCTGAATTATTAATTAAACATTAATAATTTTTAATTATTAAAGAACTATCTTCCCACCAACCATCTTCCTCCCACCACATGAACTAAGTTTTTCTGGTCCTTCTGTGTCAGTGGAGTTTGGACTATTTCTATAATACTGTTGTAATCTTTTATAATTATATAGAGTGTTTGAAAAGTTCATAGCTATAATTTAAAATATATGCTTTCCTTTGTGAGACTTTTCTGCTTTTTTCTTTTCTTTGAGAAATTGCTTCTGTTCTCAAATTATACTTAAGATTCTGCAGTTGCTTTTCTTTGTTGAAAGGCTGGTGAATGCCTTGCCTTCCGTTTAAGTTCTTTTAGCAAATCATTCTGCTCTTCCTTCACACAGTCAGTTTATTCACAAATTTCAGAATTCAATTCTCACCTCTCTCAGTGCTAAAATCAAACTTCTTGGCCAAATAAAGTTGTTAATTATGACTACTCAGTACAATTCTCACCTCCCTTAAGTGTTAACTCCAAACATCCTTTATCAAATTATACTGTAGGGAATATTCCCAATAATTGCTAAATCTTTTAAATTATTTTCCCATTAAGTAACTCATCTCCTCCAGAGTTTCTTACAGATAGCCTCTTTTAAGAATATTAATATTAATTAAGAAAAAAATTCAGATGAGGGAAAATCAAAAGCTGTTTGTAGAATCAAGCAAAGAACATGCAAAACCAAAATTTTGGTGATG